AGTTGTGAAAACATCTGCTAGGTCCATGCCTGCTCCTTTCAGTACAGTTATTCCCTTGCTAATAATTGTCTGTGTTCTGTCATCTAGAAAGGGACCTTGTGTTCCTCCCAGGTATTCTAATGCTAATTTGTTTAGTTAAAAAGAAGAGGCTAAACAGATGTGAACCATTTGGTTAGGTTGTAGTTCATTTGTTAGGAAGTGCAAAGGATTCTTGGCAGGATATTAAATATTACCTTGGCCAATCACAAACACTTCATATTTCAAGAGAGAAAGGGAGGTAAGGACTGCACTCCATAAATCAGCCTTTTCAAAGAGACAGAAAAAGGCAAACATTTGATAAATCTGTGTCATTATACTTAGAGATCAAAGGGGGTTTTACATATGTATTTATGCAACTGGCAACCTAGGAGACAATAATAACAAATATAGATCTCTGACAGCTTTACAAAAATAAAAATTAGTTGGTTCTAATCTGTAATTATCTGGGAACTGTGTGAGGTAGGAAGTTGCTCACACTAGAGCTTTACTGAGGCAGTGAGGCAAAGTCATTCATAAATACATTAGGAAGTTCCGTGGGCAAGAGGTTGCCAGAGCCACTGGGTGGTAGGTAGCAGGGTACAGCCACTGCATCTGCAACCCTGGTTTTATCCATGGATCCCAAATTAGGCGGGCAGGCACTACCAGAGCCAGAGGTCACCAGCGAAAGCAGCATTTCCCTATGTACCTTGATGAAAATCTTCTTTTATGATGAAAATACAGAATGATGAAAATATATAATGATGGAAATATGTAGTGATGAAAATCATTCCTTGATGATTTTCCAGCAAATTATCTACAAGGAATATACCTGAAGAATCCCTGAAGGCAGGAAAATTTCCATCTGTGGGGTCTCTCCTGCTTGGCCACAGCATGGAGTTACAGCTCCATGTCTGGTACCTTCCATAGCCCCACATGGCACTGTTGGCCTGGATGAGCCCTCCCACTGTTCCCAATGTCTGGTTCACTCTCTACAGCTCAATAAGTACAGGACTGGAGCCAGAGGCTCAGGTAAGTCAGGGAAGAAGCCTCAGAAGACCCCAGAAGGGGTTTTCAAGCAACAGAAATAAGAGAAAGACTACTGGGGGCTACAGTGGTTATTGCTTTAATCCAGTGCAGAATTTAACCCAGGGCAGATGAACTGAAACTCCTCCAAAGCAGCAAAGGCCATCGTATCACCCAAAGAAGGAGAAATCCAGCTGTGTTAAGATCATTTCATGGACAAAGCAATGCAGCCACAGAAATTAGAGACAGAGAAGTAGCATGATGTCATCTCTCCCCTCCTTCTGGCCAGTTACCGGGCTGATTTCCTATTCTCTTTTGCTTGTTTAAAATGACTTCAGCAACTTGGTTTCTGCTTGTTCCCATGGGAAACTTCTGCAGTCTATAGATTTCACTGGTAGGAAACTCTTCTTGACAGTCAGACTATATTTTCCTTTACTCAATTCCATCACATCACTCCTACTTATGCCTCCTTGGAGCACCCTAAACACTCTGCTCCATTGAAGTCAGTGCAGTTATGTGAGCAGTAAATTTGGCTTATGGCACTTGGAGAAATAGATATTAAAACCCCAGGGACAAATTAGGGGGCAAGGGGAGGGAGGGCAGTGAGGGAAAGGAAATGGTTTCAGGTTAAGAGAAACAAGATCTCCTCCTACATCTGTATAGCAGTGCTGCCTGTGGCCCTGATAGGAGCATGCCCAGGACAACACAGTGGGACACCGTGAGGAGCAATGATGTCCCTGGGGTCTCCCTAGGATGTTCCTAGGATGTCCCTGGTCAGTGGTGGGCTGAGGGCTCTAAGGCATTGTATGGCACTTGGACTTGGGTGCAGAGAGGTTGCATAAAGCCCTGGGCACTTGCCTTGGCTGAGTTTTAAGTCCCAGTGATGGTACCCACACTCACCTCATGGCCTGTCTGCCCCAGCTGGGATGGCCACTGCCTGCTGGTCCAGCAATCCTGATCCAAAAACACTCACTGCAAGCTGCACCTCTACATGTGTTTTTTCAGGACAAAATCCCAAATGTCCTCATGCCTTTCTCCCAGCTCTTATCTCACTACTGTGACGTTAGGACAAGTCCAGCAGATGTGTGCAATGGTGGAGAGAAGGCTGTTGACAGACACACAAGATTTATGCATCAATGATCCTCCAGCTACTGTGAGCTCTGGAACAGGACAGGGTGTACTGCACAGGACATGTGTTGGAGAGACACAGGGAAGAGACAGCAATAAGGATTTCCTAGGGTGGGAAAAAGTAGAATAAAGAAGTGCCGGACTTCTCTTCTTGGGACCCTGCAAGAGGGAGAGGGCTGCAGTGGCTCTGTGACTGGGGAACATCTCAGAATACTGCAATAAGGACAAAATCCCATTATAGATACATGTGGATAGATGAGGAACATAGAAATCTCACACCAAAGCCCTACACCTCAGTGTTCTGGGTGCTGTATGTTCCGAAATAGGGGCTGGTCACCTCCTCTCTGGCCAAGTCACTGTACAGCAGAGCACTGATACAATTCCAGTAAAACCTATCTTGGGGCTATTTTTCTTAAAAAGCCAATCCAACTTTTACAAGCTACAGCTGACAAATATTAAAGGCTTAAACCAAACTTTCTGTGACACTTATCCTGGCTGATGCTGCTGTATGTAAAGAACAAGAATTATTCCATCTGAAGGGTTTGCCTGTTAGCTCATGGTGTAGGAGTATGCAGTGGAGTAACCCATGTGTGGAAGCAGCAGATTTTCTGTTTGGCCAAGTGCAGAGGTGAGTAAACCTGGGTGCAGGAGAGGCATGCATGGAATGATTGCTGCCCACAGCTGTGATCCATGCATTGCCAGGAACTGTCCTTTTTAATTCTCTTCACAATTACCCATCTGGGCCAGCTGGCAGAGCTTTGCCAGCACACAGGGAAACTGGAAAGCAATTCCTCCTTCATCCTGCCACAGCTTGGCACCTCCATCTCTGTCTGCTTGGTTTGGGATCACCGTTCACACCACAGAGCCCAGCAGTGCCACCTATTTTATCTCATAGCAGAGAAACATTGGAATTGTTTGCTGGTGACTCTGTAGCTGAAATACAGATGTCATCCTTATGTCATCCCAAAATCCGCTTTGCAAATACATGGTCCTGGGAAGAATGGAGATGAGTGACACTGGTACTGATGGAGATTTGGGTGGCCCAAGCTCTGTGTTAACCCACTGAGCAGTTTTTAGAGAAGTCATACACCTCTCAGGGTCTTATTTACCCTCTTCAATCTGCTTGGTTTCTTTAGTTTGTAAACTCCAGTTTGTAGTTGCAGATTATTTTACAAGATTCTCACACCACAGCCAGTGTGATGGAAACTGTTCACTTTTGCATACCAGTTTAGGGATTGATATACAGTTGATACATGAATAAGTCAGGATAATGTCGTTGCTTCTGACAAACAAAATTAAGGCTCTTGATTGTGAAAAGATTCTCCTCTAGTTTGGGGGAAAGTTAAAAAAAAATAAAGAGGTTTCAGCAAAACCTCACTCTCAAAAGTGCTCTGAAAGCAGCAAAATCTGTAAAAACATTTATGCATCTTTTAATAAAAACAGGATAGAAAAGCTGCCCAAATGCATTGGAGCTGTAAGTTATGTGATTGCTGGGAGAACACTGGCTAAAGCACTTCCATGGAATGCGCAAAATCCCCATCCCTGGAGAACACTGGAGTGACCTGGTCCTGGAAAGGAGGGTCCCACAGCTAATGGTATTGCAGGAAGGATCTCCTCTGACAGATTCTCTTAGTTTGCCTTTCAGGACCTGTTGTGTTTGGTTTGGTTTCTGTGTGTTACTCCCATAATGTGGACTCTGGCAAATCTCACCAGGAATTTTTACAGGCAGGGATTTCAGAAAATACAGTACGACAGAAGGTGCAGCTGATTGAAAAGACAACTCGTCAATACAGGCAAAAATAGTATCATAGAATAGTTCGGGTTAGAAGGGACCATGAAAAGTGATATAGCCCAGCCCCCTGCCATAGGCAGAGACACCTTCCACTAGACCAGGTTGCTCCAAGCCCTGTCCACCCTGGTCTTGAATGTTTCCAAGGATGGGCCATCCACAGCTTTTCTGGGCAACCTCAAACAGTGTTCTATCACCCTCATTGTAAAAAAAATTCTCCCTAATATCTAATCTAACCCTGCCCTGTCTGTTTAAAACAGTTATCCCTTGACTGTGCTGAAGGGTTTGTCCCCACCTTTTTTATAATCCCCACTTAGATACTGAAAGACCACAATAAAGTCTCCCTGGAAACCTTGCTATCCACATATTTGAGGATAAGGAGGAGAAAAAAATGAGATGCCCCGAACACCATGATGCCCTCAGTGCTTGACTCCCAGCTGGCGATTCCCTGCAGCCGTGAGGGCACAAGGCACGGGAAATCCCAGCCTGGCAGCGAGTGTCC